GACCCGACGGGTCGGGTCGGGTCAACTGTTTAAAAGTTCGAGTCGGGTCGGGTTGAACCTCTGACCCGACCCGACCCAACTCGTTCGGAGCTCTACACTTATTGAGATTCACTGTGTAATATAAATTTAATATGACGTTAAAAAATTTTTAGGAATCCAGTTTGATTTGAATCAATTCGAATTGAATCAAATCAAATCGAATCCTGTTTTTTTGAATTCGAATCGAATCGAATTGACTACAGATTGAATCGAATTGAATCACTCTCAAATTCAATTCAATTCAATTCGTTCGGAGCCTTAGTCAAGGTTTGCTCTTTTTGAATCAGATGGCTGAGTAAGAGTATGGAGAAAACCAGGGGAAGCTTATAAAGAGGATTGTATTCAACCTACAGTTAAATTTGGTGGACATGGTGTCAGACCTTTGATTGTGGTGGAGGGAATAAGTCTCCGCATGAGCCAGCTTGCAAGCCAAATAACTTTGTAGGCTCGCAAGCTGAATAAGTTTTTTAGCTTGCAAGCCAGCTTGTGAGGAGCTTTAGGAGGGAAACATGGATTCAAATGATTATATTAACATCCTTGCTGGACACTTTATACCATGGGTTAATAATTACCCTAATTCTATTTTTCAGCAAGACAAAGCTCCATGTCATACATCAAATTATAGTGTTTGGTGGATGAAAATACATGACATTCTGATTTTAGATTGGGCAGTGCAAAGTCCAGATCTTAACCTGCTCAAGAACTTGTGTAACTATCTGGATCATCAAGTATGTAAAACTTCTGCCTAAATCTAAACAGGAATTAATAAATGTAATACAAGAGGAACAGAGGAAAATCAGCATAGAAATGCTACATCATTTAATTTTAAGCTTACCAGATTGTGTCAAAGCAGTAATTAAGGCTAAAGGTGGACATACTAAATATTAGCCTGTTCATTTTAAAAATTTTAAATATTAAACATCACATTTAGGATTTTATTTTGAAAACTTGTTTTTATCAAATAATAAATATAAAATTTTTTTTACACATACACAAAAAACTGAATTTTATATACAATTCTATAAATAGTAAAAAAAATCCGGTAAATTACTGTAGGCCAGTGTATATACTCCCTCTATCAATTCAGGGGACTAAATTTTAGTGATACAAAATAAACTTATTTTATTCCTGTAATCAATCCAAAGTTATAAATTCATGCTAACCTTAAAATCTTATTTTCACTTTGGCATTGACTTGGTTGTGCTGGTTTTATTCAATTTCTATCAATATTTCATATCTTCTGATTTCTTTGTTTACCCTGGCGTATTTTTAATTCTTCCTTTTTTCTTCAAAATCGTCAGTTCTGGTTGATTGTTGTTGTCCCGTTAATATTAACGTAAATTCTTCTCATCTTCTTTCCGATACATAAGTAGTTTAATTAATTTTCTTCTTTCGTTATTTTTCGTTATCAACCTTTGGGATCTTGATCAGATTTATTAAGCTTTTTGTTGTACTCTTTAATGTTTTTGTTGCTCTTTTTATTAAATTAATTAAATTAAACTAAATATTTTTTCGTAATTGGTCGTGTTTTTGATCGTATAAACCCGATTCTGGTTGGTATGTTGTAAAGCAGTGTGTTCTTCTGCCGCTCAATTCTTCCTAATTTTCCCTAAAGCGCCGTAAGAGTTCTTCGTTATCTCAATAGGTGTCACTTCGCACACTTACATGGTTTTTCTGCAGTGCAGGGTGTCTGTTTCGTCATGTTTCTTGTTCAGGAGGAATGAGTCCGTCACATAATATTTCAAACAAGGATTTATTATTATTATTACTAAATATGGGACCATCAATAAACCGGTAACGCGAATAAAACGAGTTAGGCAAATTACACAAAGACTGTCCCACTTTGGAATGTTTATTATTATGAAATATTAACGCGAAGGCTTTTTTGTGTGATGCTTTTCATCGATTTGGGACACATAATAAAAAAATGGTTCGTTCAACAGAATCTTTGCATGCCTATAAAGTTAAGCTTCAATTCTCCTTCATTTCTTGGATAATTTATTCATAATTGTTATTTATCAATCGTCCACTTATTTAATGATGTTTTTCACAACCAAAATTATTCGGCCTGAGTTTTCTAGGAAACCTTATATTTTCTATTTATTTTATCTTTTATTTGGTCTCATCCCTACAGCAACAGAAGCAATTACTAACAAGATGTTTGACTTTCCGGTTTATGATTCAGTGAATGGATTGAGATGTAGTGCTGCTGTATACCGTGAACACAAAGTATTTGGCACCTTTGGTTCTCAATTAGGGACGTTTATACCTATTGTATTCCTTATTTTTACTGTAGCAGTTTACGGTACAAAATCTGTGTTTGGCTATATGAGAACCTGCCTTATTGATGATGTTGTTATTCTCATGTCTTCTTTGGTGCCCATTCTTTCATGGTGCATTTTCAGTAAAATACTCTGGTATAACCTAATTAAGAAGGATACAGATGATTTAAATAAGATAACGGATGATTTTGCAAATATTTATGGAAAGAATCTAAGTGCAATCAACAAGACTGAATTTCTTGACAGGTTTAATGATATTAATGAAACCTTTAATAAGGGGGTGATTAATATTTTAATAATTACAATATTGAGTTCTGTAGCAATTGCGCTTCTGTTGTTGATTATTGGATGTGTTTTTTACAAGCGTCGGAATAAACTGAATGCTATAATCTTCGGGAAGATGACTAACAAAAATTTATTTGTTTGTTTAAAAACAGTCATTATTTGGATTTATTTAATTCACTCTATTGGACTCTTGTTTTATACTTATTTGGAAACTAAATTCTTTTCTGATGAATTTGATCTAACTGATCTGCTTTATTATTATACAAATGAAAATGGAACTGAGCTTTATTTTGAGTATTTTGATGATGATAATACCAAGGAACGGTTTTTACTTAATTTAGAATTCATACACTTTTTAGTAAATCTTCTTTATCTCATCACAGCCATTGTTTTAGTTTTTAATTATCATTTTCCAGGATTGGATCGAAAACATGGAGTTTTCAAGCGTTTTATTCATAAAAAATTTTTCTTTTTTCTGGTTCTCTTTTCCTTGATCGAATTGTTTTTTGAATATTCTTATTTTTGCACCAGTCCTATTATTAGCACAGTTTTCAATTCTTTACTTGTCACCATTTTGACTCGTTCAATTTCATCATTCTTTTCTAGCCAGGGAATAATCAAAATCGAAGATATTGATAAACATTATTATAGAGATTATCAACATGCAGTTTTTGCAAAAATGGACGCTGAAAATATTCAAAATCTCAACCATTTTTATAAGAGTGATTTCCAAGACAAAGATGACACTTTGAAGGGGAGAGAGTTGAAAAGGTATAAAGTCGATTCTGTAGACGGATATGTTTATGTTACGGAGGAACCTGATCCTGAAAAATCTGATTCCAAGAAACCTGATTCCAAGGAACCACCTGTATACTATTATGTTTTGACTAATAATAAATCTGTATATTTTCGTGTGCTTGTATTGGAAGAGGGGGACAATGGCAGTGGGTGTTGTTGGTGTTGGAAATCATTATTATTATTATTTAAAAACAAGGAGGAAGAACGCATTAAAAGGCAAATCAAGAAAGCGATACGTAAACTTAAAAAGGAAGGCAAAAATTGCGTGAAACATTATTGTGAAGGAGTCAAACAAGAAGAAGATGAATTTATTCTAAAAATGGATCAGGAACTAAAAAAAAAGGAAATGAATAAGCTTATTACAAATGTCCTAAAAGAAAATAACATTCCTGTAAAAGAGGAAATGAATAAGCCTATTACAAATGTCCTAAAAAAAAATAACATTCCTGTAAAAGAGGAAAAAGATGACGGCATAATTAACGAAAAGGATAATGTCATAATTAACGAAAAGGATGATGTCATAATTAACGAAAAGGAAGATGGCAAAATTGACAAAAAGAAAGATTGGAAAATCAAAGGTTACGTGCTGGTCAATGTGCTTCAAACAGGATTTCTTAATTATATTGTTTACTCTCATCGTGTTTCTAAAGAAAATAAACCTAAGGATGACGACAACAATAATATAGTTTAAAATTTAGTAAATGTTCAATCAATAATATCTGTACTGTATTGATAATTTTTATCAATGTAACAATTTAAATGATTATCGATTGATAATACTTATTTATATTATATTTTCATCTATTTATATTTTATCAATCTGTGTAATCTTAAGTAATATATATAATGAACATTTTATGAAATAATAAAATAATAATTATCTCCGCACACAAAATAAAAGTATTTGTTCG